AAAAAATATGAGAAACAGACCTCAAGGAGTATGAATGCTTTATCAAGACATTGTATATGTAATAGTTATATTTAGATCATCAATGTCAAACAGCTTTAAATTTCCTCTATGTGTTTAATGATATGAGATGATTTCTTTACCCTCCAGCTTTAAGGACTTCTATGAAATGGAGCCCCACAAGTTCCAAAATAAGACGAACGGCATCACCCCTCGCCGCTGGCTGGTCATGTGCAATCCCGGGCTGGCTGAGGTCATTGCAGAGGTCAGCTGCGCTCGGACGGCATAAACAAAACCAAGCGAATATTTAGGTCATCTGTCAGAATCCACCACATTAAAGTGTGTGCTGACTTGTTGTCTCTTTATTGCTCATCAGAGAATTGGGGAAGACTTCATTCGTGATCTTGACCAACTGAAACGTCTCCGGGACTTTGTGAACGATGATGCATTTATTCGGGATATCGCCAAAGTGAAACAGGTGAATGGTGGATAATTTGGCCTTATTTGCTTAAGTATTTGTTCCTCTGTGATCCATGCATAGTATTCAATAAATCCTCAGCAGCTCAGTGCACATCTACAGACTGAAGTTTTTGCCTATTCTTTTTAAAATAGCTCAAGCTCAGTCAGATTAGATGGAAACTAATGCTGAACACACTTTTTCCAGTCTTGCCAAAGGCTCTCAAATTGATTTTGGTTGGAACTGACTATAATATTCTAACTTCAGTATATGCTATCATATAAACATTTCCGTTGACTCTACATTTATTTATTTTCCTGCTTTCTTATGTCTGCAGTCTGTTGCAACCCGTAAGATATTTTCTCCAGGTCTGATTTGCCTCTGCCTATCAGCGCCAATCAGCTTCCTTTTGTGCAGAAATAACACCTTTGTCTCCAGGTTTTCTGCTTTCATTTATGGCTGAATGGAAACTGCAAACAGGAGTTCTTAGCATTTCTTTTCAGCAGTAGCTGTCTTATATTTGGAGTTCATAATTTATTGTAATGATGTTTACACCTGAGCTGTTAGTCTCTGTAGATCCTTGAGAATTACCATGTAGCTCTTGGCTGCTCCTATTTTTATCATTTTCCAATAAAATGATCAGGTTCTATGTTCATCTATCACATAAAAATGATACTCATAGAAATATTTGATAGTAGCCAGTTAACACTAAAGCCATTTTTTTCAAAATCGCAACCGGCTTTTCAAATACAGATATGATTCCCAGGCATTCCAAAGCCCCGTTTGGATATCTCTTCTCTATGCATAACAGGCGTGTCCCAGTTTCATTACTTCTATCTGTGTAATTAAAAAGCAATTATGATGAATATGCCCTTGGCCCATAGCCCACCCAGAATTTGACAGCCAGCAGTCAGTGCAGAAAGGTGACATGAGGTTTTATTAGTTTTCGTTGGCATTTTGCCCATGTTTGCGTTTTGTATATTGTTTGTCTCCTGTAATTGCTCCAACTGCATTTGCATAGTGAATCTGTTTACAATGGCCAAATGATGGCAGATGCTGAACAATATTTTGTCTTGTGAAATGTTTTGATCCTGTAGGAGAACAAGCTGAAGTTCGCTGTGCATTTGGAGGAGCACTACAAGGTGAAGATCAATCCCAACTCCATGTTTGACGTCCAAGTCAAGAGAATCCATGAATACAAGAGACAGCTGCTGAACTGTCTCCACATCATCACCTACTACAACCGTGAGTGCATGTTTAGGACCGCCTGCCTCCATATCTACTCTATTTTGCAGAAGCATTCACACTATTTTGATCCCTTACCCTCCTTTTTTTCTTTACGTTATTTGGCCATGTAACTATTTCTATCTGAGTCCCAGGATTAGGTTTATTAGTAATTTCTTTCTACTTTAGATTGTGTTTAAGCCAAGTTGGTTTTGCTTTTATTCCTTTCAGGCATCAAGAAAGAGCCAAACAAGCAGTGGACTCCAAGGACTATAATGATTGGAGGAAAGGTTTGTATTTATAAAGAAAAGGATAGACTATACTTTATATATATATATTTAACTGAGTTCAACCTGCAGGCCGCTCCTGGATACCACACAGCCAAGATGATCATCCGTCTGATCACAGCTATTGGGGAGGTGGTCAACCACGATCCAGTGGTTGGAGATCGCCTGAAGGTCATCTTCTTGGAGAACTATAGAGTCACACTGGCAGAGAAAGGTAGGAAACTAATTAATGCTGAGATTGAAGAACCAATATAAAATATCTATACCTGTAATTAACCTTCTTCTTTTGCTATCTTGCAGCCATCCCAGCGTCAGACCTGTCAGAACAAATCTCTACAGCCGGCACTGAAGCCTCCGGCACTGGCAACATGAAGTTCATGCTTAACGGAGCCCTGACCATTGGCACCATGGACGGAGCTAATGTTGAGATGGCAGAAGAAGCTGGTGACGGCAATCTCTTCATCTTTGGCATGAGAGTGGAAGACGTTGATGCACTTGACAAGAAAGGGTAAAGAATAAACTCTACTGGGCACTTTTATGTTTATTCAAGAAGACAGAAAAGCCTTTTATTGGTAAAGAAATATTTCCGAGTTCCTTAAGTAATCACCCAGGGCCACAGAGAGAGAACTGATAGGTCCATCCTCTTCTTTTACTTGTGCCATCAGTATCATTATCAGATCCATTTGGGGAAATACCTCAGAGAGAGGCCAACTGTCAAGACCTTTTAAAATCACTGCAGTGAACTCCACACACTCTGACAGTCCTGCTGCTCTGAGCTTTTCCACTAGTTTTAATAATAATCTTTTCTTCACTCTTTGCTCATTGGTGCTCAAAGACATTTGTGGTCTCACATGATGAGGGTCTTTTGCATTAAAAGGTGGAACTGTGGGGAACGTAACATTCTTTTGTATCTCTACTGATGAAAGTGTTGGTTACCACACAGATAAGCCTGTGATTTTGTAAATGTTTTATTTTTTCCATCCTGCTTAGATACCATGCTGAGGAATATTACAACCGGCTGCCGGAGCTAAAGCAGGCCATTGACCAAATCGCTAATGGCTACTTTAGCCCAAAACAGCCAGACCTGTTTAAAGAAATAGTCAACATGCTGATGCATCATGACAGGTACAGAAAAACTGAACTATTTCATCTATCTATCTATCTATCTATCTATCTATCTATCTATCTATCTATCTATCTATCTATCTATCTATCTATCTATCTATCTATCTATCTAT